CCGGCCGCAGGGGTCGGCCCGCGGCCTGCGTTTATTGTAAAAACCCAAACGCAATTTCGGATAAGCGGGCGAAAAGCGCGACCCAAACGGTATGGCGGCGTTTTGAAAACGCCGCCCGCACTTATAAGCTGCCCCAAACGGACCCTAAATCTCATGACATAACCTCAATCAATAATAATAGTTTAGCTAAATATCCATCTGAATGAGTATATTTTAAGTCCTCTAATTTAGATATTAGTTTCACTGACTAAGAAGGACAAAGCACATATCCAACCTTAAATTAGTATTTAAGTTTAACTTTATTCCTCCGTGGCATTCCCTTTTGAATTCTAAAGAGATATTTCTCCATTTGAATTACAAAACCATGCTCTAAAAATTATATCATCGTTTATATTCTTAATTTTTTGTATAATGGACTCTAGAAAATTAAACCTGCCACACTAATAAAAATTCCATATATATCAAATGTTAAAATATTGATATTTTTCATGTGATATGAAAGAGTTGGGTGGTATGAATGTAAAAAAAAAAAAATTTGGTGTTACGGATGTAAATACAGAGGAATTGGCTGGTATGCATGTGAACTGTGCTAGCCATCTAGATTTAGCATAAGAAGAACCAGGATTTACCGGAGCTGGTCTGTAAGCTTCGGGTGGCAACTCGTAATTGTCGGCATATGTTACAGTTACAGCACGATCAGCAATAGTTGCACCCTGCTCATGAATCATATCTTCTGAGTAAATAGGTAAAAATTAAATAAAAAAAATCCCTTCAAGCTTTAAGGAAAATGATTTGTTTCCTTGATTCAAGGAAAGAATAGGGTCAGTAAACTCACTGACAAAAGAACAGCTGTGTCTGCTCCTTGTTTATCATAGAATGTTACATAAGCAATCCAAGACCCATCAGACTCACTAAAGGCAGAGAAGAATTGAGCTTATAAGAAGCTCTATTAAAATAAAAAAAAAAGAAGATTTACATATATACCACTCAATTCCAATGTATTTACATATCAAACACTAAAATTCCATTTGTACATACATGACATCTTACCTATACATGAGAAGGTGTATTTCACTTTTTAAAAATTAAAATAAAGATAATTTTGATGTGAGATGAAATATTTAGGTGGTGTAAATGTAATGTTGGATTTGTGACGAGCAATAAATTCTTATTGATACAAATAGGTGTATTTAAATCCTTACAATCTCAAAAAAAGATAGAAATAAAAATACAATTAAAGAAATAAAGTCAGAATAATGATAAAAAGAAAGCTAGATAATGCAGAATAAGAGTATATGATAAATAAAAACGGCTATGGAAAGTCAACAAATCTAATAAAACTAATACTCTCACCTAAGTTGAAGCATAGATATCAATCATATTTAACTTGGATTTGAAGTCATTGAACAAAGGACGAGAAGATTTTTGGTGAGGATATCTGCTAGTTGACCACTGGAGGGCATAAAAGGAACACAAATTTTCTCGGACTCAATATTTTTCTAAATGAAGTGTCTATCAATCTCCACATGTTTGGTATTATCATGTTGGACTAGATTGTGAGCAATGATAATGACGACCTTATTATCACAAAATAGTTGTCGTGAGACGGAGGTTGACATATAAAGTTCACGGAGTATGACACATAACTAGAGGGTTTCACAGATCCCAAGGACATGAACCATAATTCAACTTCAACACTGCTCCGAACAACCACAAACTGTTTTTTACTTTTTCACGTGGCAAAATTTTCTCATACAAATGAGCACTACCCCGAGGTGGAACGTCAATCATGAACGAACCCGACCCAATCAACATTTGTACAAACAACAATAGACCAAAAGATGTGATGAGGAAAACAAATCTGAGCCCGGTGTATCTTTTAAATAGTGGGGAATCCGGTGGATAACTTGAAAATGGTGTTCATAGGGGTCATACATGAATTGACTCACAATACCAACTATGTAACATATGTCATGGCGAGTATGAGCGAAGTAGATAAGTTTTCCCACAAGGCGTTGGTAGTGAGTTTCGTTGACAAGCACAACATTGGGAATAACGAATAATTTTTCATTGGAATCCACAGGAACAACCACGGTTTTGCATAGAATAAGATTGTTCATGTCAAGAGATCTACCACATATTTACATTGAGATAGGCAAATGCCTCGAGATGATCAACCCACTTCCATGCCTAAGTACCAGAGAGATCTCAAGTCCTTCATTTCAAATGTCTTAGCAAAAATATCTTTCAAGGACTCCAGTGCTAGAAGATCTTTACTTGTAAGAATAATATCGTCAACATAGAAAATAAGACAAGCTAATTGGCCAATGGAGGAATGTCGGAACAAGAGAGTATGGTCTGATTGAGCTTACATAAAATCATGACACATGACCAACTTTGTGAACTTGTCGAACCAGACACTTGGGGACTGCTTTAGCCTATAGAGGGACTTTTGCAGTCTGCACACTTACCCACTGGAGGCAGTAGAATCAAAGTCAGAAGGGAGAGACATGCATACCTCTTATGCAAGTTCTCCATTCAAGAATGCATTCTTGACATATAGTTAAAATAAATGTCAATTCAGATTCACAACAAGGGACAACAAAACCAAAATAGTGTTTAACTTGGCCATTATAGCAAATGTTTTGCCATAGCCAACTCCGTACGTCTGTGAGTATCATTTGACGACCAACCGTGCCTTGTTGCGTTCAAAGGATCCATCAGAGTTGAACTTGGAGCTAAAAATTCATCGGTACCCTACAACTTTCTTAACCTGAGGAAGATCAACGATTTTCCTCGTATGGTTCCATTTTAGGGCATTCGTCACCTCCATTACTGTTGTTTTTCAGGCTGGATCAACAAAAGCAACCTAGATTGTAGCTGAGATCTGATGATCCGTCAGAGTAGTAACAAATGCTTTGTATGTAGGCGATAAACTACGGAAAGAGACATATTTTGTTATAAAATAGAGGGAGCATATCTGATTGCATACCTTACTCGGAGAACTCACCTCTACATTCGAAAGAGGGGATGTGTTGAGGATGTCACCTGGAGTGGAGTCAAAGTTCTGTAAGGAGGCGGCAGGTTCTAGAGTAGGAGCATTAAAACAGCTGTGCCGAGTGTAGACACGGATAATGGGAGGAGGAGATGATTCACACATCGGATAGTGCACTTACTATAATAGGAGACTATTCAGTGGTATGAACACTGGAGGGAACATAGATAGGGGTAGGATAAAGGACTGTATAAGAACCTAAGCTCCTACTTACTTGGGATTGAGTTAGGATAATACAGAATGCTTTCAAAGAAAGAGATATCAATACTCACATAGATTTTGTTAGTTGTATGAACAAGACACTGATACCCCTTTTGAGTGGCGGAATACCCAAGGAAGATACATTTTATGGATCTGAGATCAAATTTGCTCCAATTGAGGAGAGTGTTTCGAGCAAAAGCAATGCACCCAAAAAACTTGGGGTCTATGGTGGAGAAGATCTAATTGGCACGGAAGCAGGACATCGGGATAGCTAGGGGGTTCAGAACTTGTGAATTCTAGAGGGAACTCTACTTATGAGATAAGTGACAGTGAGAATGACATCGTTTCAAAACCGTTTTGGGATATTGAATTGAAACATAATAGATCGAGCAACGTCAAGGAGGTGACGGTTTTTGCTCTCGACTACCTCACTTTGTTGAATGTTTGTACATGAGCTATGGTAGAGGATACCCTTACTCCCCAAGAATTCAACCAAAATAGATTTGAAAAACTCACGACCATTATCAGTCCAAAAAGCCTGAAGAGGAGATTTGAATTGGGTTAAAATGAAGGCGTAGAAATTTTAGTAGGTGACAACAACCTCCAATTTGTATTTTAAAATGTAGACCCACTTTATTCGAGTGTAGTCATCAATCAAAGTCAGAAACTACCTTTTATTAGTGAAGCTGAGAGTGGGAGAGGGTCCTTATAGGTCATTGTCAATGAGAGAGAAATAAGCGAAATGTGCATAAGTGTGGGTGGGTAATGAACCCAATGATGTTTGACTAGCTGACATGTCTCACAATTGAAATTAAAAAGATTTTTATTAGAAAACATCCAAGGATACAAATTTTTTAAATATTGGAAACTAGAATGACCTAAATGACAATGCAATAACACAATGGGACATTCAATGACTCGAGATAAGTTACAACTCCTGAGAAATGTGTCCTTACTCTCCATGCTATTCTCTTAGAAGTATTAGAGTCTAGCTACCCCCTTAGCAGTTTCAATCATCCTACCTAAATAACGATCCTAAAAACACAACAATCAAAAGAGAAATTAGCAACACAATAAATATCATTCATCAACTTGTTGATAGATAATAAGTTACATCGCAACTAGGGAACATATAAAATAAACTCCAGGTTAGATCTATTGTTAGTACCACGACCATTTACCAACAATGAAACTACAGGAGCCATCGATAATTCTGATGGTATCCTTTCTAGGGTACTGATAGTAAGTTGAGAAAATTTGTGAGCATTCAGTCATTTGATTCGTGACACCTGGATCAATAATCCAAGAACTAGAGGCAGAATAAGCCGTAAAAGCCATAGGAAGAGTATCTTGTCGGATGTTGGAGGTCAACGGACCCGTAGAGGCTTTAATGTGCTTAAATAAGCTTTGATTAATTGCTCCATCTAATTTTTCAGAGATTTAGAGGATACTAGGATGTTTCGGGTAGGAGTCAATTGAACCTTGGTGGGCTCAGTTGTCGGCTTCAGACCTTTGGTATACGAGGATTTGACTGAAGATTTGTATGTCGAATCACTGTGAAGTTTCCAACATCTATCCCGAATTTGGTTAGATTTGTGGCTCTGAGCCATCAATGAACTCCGGTAGGATCTCAACAAACGAATATAATTGCAAGAAATAAAATATATGCAGGAAAGACCGGCGTTCGACAACTGCAGGACTCCTTCCTGCATAATTGGCGACAGCTAGTTGAATCAATAGCAGAAAAGCGGGCGGCTGCGCTAGAACAGAAGCACCATGGGACCTACGGCTACTGGAATTGAGGATCCTGCGATTTTTGGAGCCTACAAGGAGGATCAGCGGCACCAGGAAGACATGGGCCAGCTGGAAGGCCTCTTGGGATCAGCACCTGGAATTAGCGACACCAAGGTGGCAGAAGCAACAATGGCTGAAGGAATCAGACGGGAAAACCTGTGTTCAGAAAGAATTAGCAGCTAAAGCACCGACACTAAGGTGGCAGAAGCAACAACGATTGGAGAACAAACGGCTGAAGGAACCATACGAGGAAAACTAAAGCAGATGGAGAGCGATAGAAGGAAAATCTAAAGATACTGGAACCATACAGCCGAAGAAAAATTAGCAGATTAGACAGATGTTGGAGCGATAGAAAGAATTAGCGCTAAAGGTGCCGACCGGCAAGGGCGGAACTTTTAGGGTTAGAGTCAGGCTCTGATATCATGTTGGATTTGTGACTAGAGCACTATATTCTTATTGATACAAAGAGGGGTATTTAGACCCTTACAATGGACTCAAATAAAGAATGAAATAAAAATACAATTAAAGAAATAAAATCAGAATAATGATAAAAATGAGACTACATGATGCAGAACAAGGATAATTAATAAATAAGTAGCTATGGAAAGCCAACAAATCTAATAAATCTAATATTAAAAAGTAAAGTTTAGATGTTAGATATGTAAATACATAGGAATTAGGTGATATGTATGTAAAAATTGCATTCTATCAGAATAAGAGAGCACCTTTGCATTTCAACATAAAAAATGTTTCCAGAAAATGAGAAGAATTCCTTAACATCTTGCTTAGATGCTAGCAAGGATATATTGCTCACTTTTACAGTTCTAGCCTGCAACAGCCAAAAGGTTTACGGATGATAAGTGAAGCTTACAATAACCAGAAACCAAGCCTAGTTTAAATTCATTAAATTCAAAGCAAACCATGAGTGAAATAGTCCAATAAAGAACTGAATCATCATAAAATGAAGAATAGTATCACTTATTGATCGAGAAAGTTACTTTTTTTTATGCTTGTAAACACAAAATATATATATATCAAAGTTGTAAATGCAACAAGCACAACAGTGTAAACATAAAATACAAAAACTTGGCATTAAAACTAAAAAAGTACATTTAAAAACTCTAATGGTTATACTTATAATGCATCTCAAATCAACAGGATGGTGCATATGCCTTAAGTTGAGGTTTTGAAGTGAGTTATATAACCAAAAGTTCCTACGAGGCATTGTAAAACATTTAGTAGATCTGACTATCAATGATATAGCTAAAAAAATCAACAATTTAGAAGTGCATGCATGCAGTCATATATGTCTCCTTGTCTCATAAGTTCTCAACTGTTCTTTAATGTCTTCTCACTTCATTAACGACTGGAGAAATGAGCTAATTAACCAGGACAAAGAAAAAGACATGGGTAACCAAAATAAGAAATGAACGGGAGGAGAGAGCTAAGGCACAAGTATGATCTCTACTTTCCCAATTTTCGTTAACATCAATTTCACCAGCCATTTCATCACTTGTTCTTAAAGGCAGCCAACGAGAATGGAACTTACTAATTAATAATACCACAACATAACTAATACGGGGAAACCTACTTGTAAAAAAGGTGTAACTTGCCTACATTATCCTGATGACTATAGGGTTTAAGCAGTCTTTATTTCATCTACAGTAGTGTTAGAAACGTAGAGATGCTATTAGCATAAAACATACATGCATGAAATTCAAGGTATGAACATAGAACAACAATGAGAGTTGCCGGAGGAACGCGGAAAACTCCTTTGGAATGTTGCCGATTTAAAATAGTTAGGAAATAGGGGTATGAAACTTATTTAACAAGTAGTTAGGAAAGAGAGAGTTTTTAGAGGTGAGAGAATTATAAGAAAAACTAAAAAAAATGAAATGCTGAAATAGGAAACTTAGCTAGAGGTTGATGAAGATGTTCTAAAAAGAATGCAATAAGCGAAGCATTTTGACGGCGAAGGAAAAAAAAGCGGCATGATTGGGGAAGCAATCGGAAGGCTAATAGTAAGAAGCTTAATTCTCAAAGCGGAAGCGAGGCATACGTGAAATCCTATCCTTGGACTCAGCTAATTAGAGAAGAATGACGGAAAGGACTTTAAAAATTTATCTTGTCACGGAGAATCATTTCTCATTTCTTATATGTATTCACATGCAAACTCATGCTTTGTGCTCGTCATCCACTGTAGAACTTAAAAGCCTTGTAACTCTCCACATCCATAAAATAATAAATTAAACTCCTTCAATCCCACTTATAACAAACCTGCTGATTCTCATGGACATCAAAACTTTAAACACATTACAGTTTTTAGCCACAATATGAAAAATTACATCAATTTATTGGGAGTTAAAATTGCAATGTGCCGACAAGGGATATTTTAATCATATTTAACATACATTCATTTAATTGAGCTTTTCTTTTAATCTAATATTTTATTAGCTTAGATGTGAGTGAATTATGATAATCACATCAAATCTCAAAACCAATAAATAGATGATAGGGATAACTTAACAATAATAAGTAGTGTGTTCATACAAAGTATAATGGGAGCAATGCCATCCATAAATTTAGCAGCCAATAAATTTAAGTAAATTTTTATATTTTTGCTATAAAAATTTAATAAGTTTAAAGTTTTGAAGCTTGTGAGAATCTACATGCTTGGTATAAGCAAGATTGGAGAAGTTCGTTTTTTCTTTGTTTCACTTTAGAGACGTGAAGAGTTTCAAGACATAGGAGTTTTGTAGTGGATGACAAGTACAAAGCTTGAGATGTACTTGTAAATACACATAAGAAATTAAGAAAAGATTCTCAGTAGCAAACAAAAATTTTAAAAGTCACTCCCAACCTTTAATCAGTTGAGTCCAAAAAAAAATATATTTCGTTAGTGCCTCTGCATCTGCATTGATGATTCAACTACTTCATAATAGCCTTCCAATTGCTTCCCCAAACATGCCGCTTTTGGCCTTCACAATCAAAATGCTCCGCATGTTGCATTACGTTCGGAAAGATCTTCATGAACCCAAAGTTAAATTTCCCATTTTACCATTTCATTTTTCTATCATTTCTTACAATTCTCCTACCTCCAACAACTCTTGCTTTCCTATGACTGTCACCTGAAATAGCCTTTCCCACACCATGAACACTAATAAAACACCACTTCTAATAAAAAATGAACTCTATGGCTTAGTTCAGTGAAGCAACTTACACGAATGTCAATTGTCTTATCATGCTACTGAGGCAAATACCTGTAAAATATTGTGGAAGGAAAGATAAGAAAAGCATATATGCTAAATGCAAATGCTAGAGTCGATGGATTAATTAACAAAGTTACATTTAATGTCATTCATTTTCCTGATTTGGTTACTTTGAATTTTCTATGGAATGATGTGCAACGCTGGATAATTGAGTTTTCCATCTCATTCAATGGTTGTTGGCACAAAAATATGATCACACAGACTGACATATCATTCTATGTTTCCTAAAAAATAATTTATATGCATGTTTATTAATAATGTATGAGACTTTTGTATGCATGTATATCACATTGACAGATGCATGCAAAAGTCGTACTTTCTAAAACATGTTTATAAACTTATTTTTTTAGGAAATAGATAATGAGTTGCCAGTATGAGTAAACATATTTTTTATATCAACAATTGTTGAATGAGTTAGAAAATTACAATAATTTAGCATTGCAAATCATTCCATAAAAAAATCTATTATTAATGGACAAAAAAAGCAATAGTAACCATAGTAGGAAAAATGAATGATTAGATGCATATCTTTATTGATGAATTTATCAATTCTAGCATCTGAGTTTAGCATCGAGGCAATATTTTTGAGTTGATTTACCAATGCACTCTATAGATTTTTATCTCAATAGCATAGCAAGATAGCTATCAACCATTGGAAACTATATTATTGAATTCAACCATAAAACTGTGTTAGAAATAGTGTTTCAGTTAGTATTCAAAGGGTTGAGAAAATTATTATAGTTGACAACCATTTGAAAGCAATAGTTTTGAGAGGTTGAAGAACTATAAGGAATGCAAGAACAAAGAAATGCTGAAATACGAAACTTGATTGGAGGTTAATTAAGGTATTTTCTAAGAGGATGCAATACACGAAGAATTCTGACGGTGAAGACGAAAGTGAGATATTTTGGAAAGCAACCAGAAAGCTATTATGAAGAAGCTTAATCTTAAAGCAAAAGCAGATACACATGTGAAATCCTTTTCTCAGACTTGACTGGTTAAAGAAAATGAGTGGATTTTAAAATTTTATCTTCAATAAGAATCATTTCCTCATTTTTTACAGATATTTACATGCAAACCTCATGCTATATACTTATCATTCATTACGAAATTCAAACCTCTTGTAACTATCCACGTCCATGAAATAACCTTCAATCTTACTTAAACTAAGCTTGTTGATTCTCAAGGATATCAAAACTTTGAACATGTTATAATTTTTTAGCGAAAATGTCAAAAAAATTACAGAAATTTATTGAAAGCTGAAATTGCACTGTGGTCAACGTGAGATATTTTAATAATACTTGATATACCTTTTATTTAATTGACCTTTTCTTTTTATCTTATATTTTATTTGTTCAGATATAAGGGAATTATGGTCACAACAAATATCATGATCAATAAATAATTTGATGGGCACCAATTAAGAATGATAGGTACTGTGTAGATATAAAGAATAATGAGAGCAATGTCATCAAAAAAATTAGCTCCCAAAAAATTTATGTAATTTTTTAATATTTTTGTTAAAAAATTATAATGAATTCAAAGTTTTGATGCTCATGAGAATCACCAGGCTTGGCACAAGAGGGATCGAACGAGTTTGTTTTTTTATATTAGGGATGTGGAGAGTTGCAAGACATTTGAATTCTATAATAGATGATGAGCACAGAGTACGAGGTGCATTTGCACAGACACAAAAGAAAAAAAAAATCTTATTGGCAAACTAAATTTTTAAAGGCCACTCCTGCCATTCTTTAACAAGCTGAGGATTCAGCTTTTCCCCAAACATGTCGCTTTCGCCTTTGTTGTAAAAATATTGCAAGTTGCATTATATTCAGAAACATTTTCATTAACCTCCAGCCAAGTTCCTATTTCAAAATTTTATTGTTAAATGAATTCTTACAAGTCTTTCTCGTCTCAAAAAAGTTATTTTTTTTTAAGGCTGTCAACTGGCATAACTTTCTCCGCCCCTCACACACTAATTGAAACACCTCTTTAACATAATAACTTTATGGTTGAGTCCAATGATGCAACTTTCAATAATTGTAGACCGTTTTATCATATTACTGAGGCAAATACTTCTAAAATATAGTGGAAAGAAAACAAAAAAAGATGTTATCTTCATGCCAAACTCAAATACTAAAGTTGAATAATTCATCAACGAAGGCACATCTCATGTCCTTTATTTTCTTGATTTAGTTACTTTAGCTTTTTCTTAATCTATCAATAATAAATTTTCTATGGAATGACGTGCAACACTGGACTATTAGAGTTTTTCATCTCATCAAAGGTTGTTAGCACAAAAAATGTGGCCACTCAGAATGACAAATCATATGTTTCCTAAACAATTAATTTTATATGCAGGTTTATTAAGAATGTATAAAAATTTTGAATGCATATCGTATTGGAAGGTGCATGCAAAAGTGTTGCACTTTCTAAAATGCATATAAACTTATTTTAAAAAAAATTGATAATAAACTGCTAGTCTGATAGGCCGCATTTTTAGTGTTAATAATCATTGAATACGTTTGAAAGTCCAATGATTCAACGCATAACATTATTCCATAGAAAATCTATTATTAATGGATAAGGAAAAACTGAAGTGACCATAATAGAAAAATGAATGACAAGATATGCACGTTCGTTTATGAATTCATCAGTTCTAGCATATGAGTTTAGCATAGGAATAACATTTTTGTATTATTTTTTTATTTCATTCCATAAGCATTTGCCTTAGTATCATAATAAAACAATTCACAACTGTTAGAAACTGTATCATTGAACCCAACCATATAGTTTTTTATATTAGAAGAGGTGTTTCAGTTACTGTTCAAGGGGTGAAAAGGATTACTCTGGTTGATGGTCATAGGAAAACAAGAGTTATTAGAGATGAGAGCACTATAAAATTTTAAAAAAAATAAAATGTTGAATGAGAAACTTGGCTGAAGATTAATGAAGATGCTTCTGATAAAAAAGTAGTAGACAAAGCATCTTGACGGTGAAGGCGAAAATGACATGCTTGAGAAAACAAGTAGAAGGCTAAAATGAAAAAACTGAATCCCTAACATGAAAATAGAGGCTACACGAAATCTTTTCCTTGGGCTCAACTAGTTAGAGAAAAACGAAAAGAGTGGCTTTTAAAAATATATTTTTTCATTGAGAATCGTTTCCTAATTTCTTACAAGTACTAACACGGACATCCCACACTCTGTGCCCGTCATTCACTATGAAACTCAAAAATCTTGAAACTCTCCATGTCCCTAATGTAATAAAGTACACTCCTTCAATCTCGCTTCTACCAAGCCCATTGATTCTCATGAACATCAAAACTTTGAACACGTTATAATTTATTAGAAAAAAAATATTAAAAATTACTTAATTTTATTGGGAGTTGAAATTTCACTATGGACAAGATGAGATATTTTAATCATACTTGAAAAATATTTCATTTTGAGCTCTTCTTTTTATATTATATTTTATTTGCTTAGATGTGAGTGAATTATGATGGTCACATCAAATCTCAAGATCAATAAATAATTGATCGACGTAACTTAGCAAAAATAGGTTAGTGTGCTCATACAAAGTATAATGGGAGTAATGCCATCAAACAAATATGCTCCCAATAAATTTAAATAATTTTTAATATTTATACAAAAAAATTATAACAATTTCGAAGTTTTGATGCCTGTGACAATTAGCACACTTGGAAGGAGTTTGTTTTCTTATTTTAGGGATGTGAAGAGTTACAAGATATTTAAGTTTCACAGTGGATGATGAGTGCAGAGCACGAGGTATGCTTGTAAACACATATAAGAAATAAAGAAATGAATCTCAATGACAAGAAAAATTTTTAAAAGTCATTCTTTTCATTCTCTAACCAATTGAGTTAAAGAAAAAAGATTTTGCTCGCGCCTCAACTTCTGCTTTGAGGATTCAACTTTTTAATAATAGGCTTCCAATTGCTTCTCCAAACATGTCGTTGTCGCCTTCTTTGTTAAAATACTATATATAATGCATTATATTCAGGAACATTTTCATCAACCTACCCCATTTCAGCATTTCATTATTCTATCATTTCTTACAATTCTCCCACCTCCAAAAACTCTTGCTTTTCTATGGCTATCAGCTACAATAATCTTTCCCACTTCTTGAACACTAAATGAAACACTCCTTCTAACACAAAGAACCCTATGATCGAGTTCAATGATGTAAATTTCAACAAATATGAACTGTATTACCATGGTACTGAAGCAAATACTTATAGAATGTAGCGGAAAGAAGGCATAAAAAATATTACATAAATGTTGAACTTAGATGCTAGAGCCGATACATTCATCAACGAATTCATTTTCATAATTTGGCTACTTTGGCTTTTTGTGATTATGCGATAAAAAATTTTCTATGAAATGATGTGCTTTATGGATTGGAGTTTTCTAGCTCATTTAATGGTTATTGGCACAAAATATTCAACAAATAAATATGTGTTTCTTAAAAAAATAAGTCTATATGCATGTTCATTAAGATTGTCTGAAACTTTTGCATGCATATCATATTGAAAGGTGAGTGCAAAAGTTTCGTATTTTCTTAAAGATGTATGTAAACTTTTTTTTAAGAAATAAATAATAAATTGTTAATCTGAGTGGTCACATTTTTTATATCAACAATCACTGAATGACTTAGAAAAGTCCAATGGCTTAGCATTGTACATCAATCCATAAGAAATTTATCATTAATGGATTAGAAAAATTGAAGTAACCAGAACAGAAAAATGAATGACAAGATATATACATTTGTTGATAAATTAATTAGTTCTAGCATTTGAGTTTAGCATGAATGTAATATTTTTTGTGTTATCTATCAATACATTTTATAGCCATTTATCTCAGTAGTATGGCAAGATAGCTAACAACCATTGAAAACTTTTTCACTGAACTCAACCATAGGGTTCTATGTGTAAAAATAAGAGTTTCAGTTAGTGTTCAAGTGGTGGGGAA